TACAAAAAAAAAAAAAAAAAAAAAAAACACAAAAAAACTAAACATACTTGTACTATGCAATCCAGCAGTCACATTCCTTGATGTTTACACAAAAGAGTAGAAAATGCATATTCACATAAAAACTTGCACACGGACACTTACAGTAGCTTTATTCAGAACTGGAAGCAAAAATCTGTCCTTCAGCAGGTGAAGGGAAAAACCCTGTGCTACATCTGGACAATGGAGTCTGATTCAGCACTAAGAAGAAATGAGCTATCGAGCCATGAAAAAACATGGGAGAAGCCGGGTGTGCTGGCGCACACCTGTGATCCCGGCACTTGGGAGAAGGCTGAGGTAGGAGGAGGATCACTGTGAGACTGAGGGCAGCCTGGACTACACAGCGAGTTCAAGGCCAGGTTGAAGTCCATAGTGAAAGCCTGTCTCAAAAACAAAAAGAAAAATCAAGACATGGGGAAGCAAATGCGTATTACTAAGTCAAAGATGCCAGTCTGAAGCCTCCAAACTGTATGACTACACCACAGGGTGGAAGAGGAGAAACTGTGGAGGCAGTGGTTGTCAGGTGTTAGGGGAAGGAAGGGATGAATTCGCACAGCTGTGACCCTAAAACTGCTCTAAAGAAAAAGTAAAAAAAAAGAAACTAGATACAGGTGGCCTCTTTGCTGTCTTTGAGAGGCTGGTGTTGGGCACTTCCTGGGCCCTCTGAGCCTTGCTGACCTACAGCCTGCACCACTTTCCCTTTCACCCAGTGGAGAGAGACTTGGGGCTTCCCCCACCACCAAGGCTTTGAGTGTGGCCGTGACCTGAGTGTCTGTCTGATGCCCTGCTTTGGCCTTTCCACTCCCAGCCAAGTACAAGTCTCAGGGTGAGATGTCCTCAGAGGCCCATGGGGTTTCTGGGAGGAAGTCCTGAGTCAGGGCCAGAGACCAGGCATGGGGCTTCCCGCTCACCTCCACATCTTACTGACAAGGACCAGTAGCTGAGCCAGGAATCAAGGAAGGCCCTGTCTGACTCAAACCTATCCTCAAAACCACTGGCCCAGCCTGCATCACAGTAAGAGGCAGGACCTTACTGACCACTGAGGCCTGAGCTCACAGGAAAGAGGGAAGGGTGATTTTCCAGAAAGATGGCGGCACTGCTTTGTGAGGTGAGTTGAAGGCTGAGGCCATATGTCTGG